CTATCTTAATAATTAAGTGCTTTAATTATTTTCAACGCAAATTCAAAAACGATATATATATACTATATACATATTAATAACTCGTCATGGCCTCTGGATACAAAAATAATTAATAAACAATTAATTTAATCAGACAATTGCTCAATAAATAACAAATATTTGAACAAACAAAAAAATTGTTAATTATGAACAATTGGGGGAAATCCATTATATGAGTCGCAACTGGCTGGATTGGAAGAATCAATTTGTCTTCTTCCTGATAGCAATAACAACAATAACAACAACAACTACAGTAGTGGCACCACCACCCACATAGCTGTTGTTGTCTGTTGATTGTGATGTGTTATGCAATCGTTTGCAATTAGGCGCTGCATTGTAACCTTATGCAAGCGGCTTGGTGCAGCATGAGGCAGCAAACAATAACCAGAAATGCCGCCGAGCCAAAATAATTAACATAAGTTGCTGCCACGGTTGCCACAGTAATTAAGTGCAGCGGCAGCAGAGGCTGCAACGTTTGGCTTTCGGGCACCAACAGTACGTATGCGCAATTTTTTATTTATTCAGCTATTGCTGCCGCTTTTCCTACATGTGTATGGAAAATTGTGGAAAAGCGTCAACCGAAGACAACACAAAACGCAACACAAAATAATAATAATAGCAGCAACAAGAGCAGCTACAATCAAAACAGCAACAACAACAACAAAGGCGACGACAACTGCACACTACATGAGGAAATTATTGAGGCATGCGGCTGGTTTGGGGCTTATGCAATTAACTTGACTAGTGAATGTGGCAACATGTTGCATGTAACTGACTGCCTGACTGAACGACTGACTGACTGAACGACTGACTGACTGACTGCCTGTTTGTCTGACTAACTGACTGAAGATTTTTTCTGCTGTTGGTGTTGTTAAACCACAAATTATTATCGAGACCGAAAAAAGAAAAAAAACGATATATAAACGCACATCGTCAGCCAAAAACCATTTAAACGGAACCAATAACCAGTCATTGAGCTGTACGTGGATGGGCTGACGGCCAGTTGAGGGCGTGGCAGAGTGAAATGGGCACATTGACTGCAACGCACACACACACGTGCGCACATATTTACACACTCGCACACACACACACTTGCCCACAAAATGGGAACAAACGCACAGTGGTTGAGCGCACATTTTAATTATTTCGATGCCATTCGTATAAAGGTTTTTATCTTCAAAAAGACAAACAATTTACACACAATTTTATTGAAAGAGCTCAGTATTTGTATTTGGGCAGATGGACGGAGAAATGGATATCACGATTTACATTCCTCTAAAGGTTCTTCAGAAAGATAAATAATTTGCACAGAATTTTATTGAATTTCCGAAAAGCTCAGTATTTGTATTCGGAACTAAAACACACAGATAGGCAGATGGATGGAGGACGATTTGCATTCCTGTAACATATACATGTGTATATGCTAGGCAGTGCAGGATTCACTTTGTGGGTTTTATATTATATAGTTATGAAAATAAATAAGTAGCTATTCATTGAAGGTACAAAGCATTTTACATTTTACAGATATTTCTTAAATATCTCTCAACTAGCTAGCAATACATTTACAGTAGAACTCCTATCACTATAATTGCATTCATTTCTTTGACTTTAAAGAGCGCTTTTAAATTTGTCGATCATTAGGAAAATATATGTGAAGAATCGAACTTTCCGGGGGAAAATTGCACACAAAATCGTCCAATTCTAGGGATTTGTTTATGATTAACAATAAGGCCACATAGAAATATGTAATATATATCAGATCGTGATCGTACAATGGATTCTTCGAATCTATGGATTATATTGCCTTCAATTTATTTAATTTAATACCCACAATACTTCATATTGAGCCCACTGTGCGCTGCTGTCGACATCGCAGTCGACGTTGGCTTTGGTATGCAGCGCAACGCAGCACCTGAGCGGGCGCGCAGCCTTGCCAGCAATTTCCAGCTAAGTCGCGTCTTCTGCGACGCATTCGAGCGAGACTCGCAAAGAAAGCTGTGAAATGGCCGCCACTGCCACATCGTCTTCCACATTCACATCCACATCGACATCGGCATCAACATCGACAACGACTCTGCAGTTTTTCTTTTTCTTTTATTTTCTTTTTTTTTCTTCATTTTATTTTGTTGCTTTTGCCAACATTTTTGCACGCCTTGGCCGTTGCATGGCAACTTCTGCAAGACGACGACGACGAGCCACTATTCACTCCATTCGCTAACTTGGCCAAGTTGTCTATTAACGGTAACTGGGTAAATGTTAGAAATTACCGTTAGAAAAATTGCTGCGCCGCTGCCGCTGCTGCTGTTGTGGCGAACTATTGCGGCCTGGCCTGCACACAAAGTAAGCCATTTGCTGTTGAGGCCAGGCTGCAAATATGAAAATCGAGGAAAACACACATTCCTCATTGTTTACCTTTTCGCGTATATGCATTATATTTTATTTGTTTTTTTTTTTTTCGTTGTTTTTTCTTTTTTTGAATGGGAAAGTGTTTGGTTGGGCACGTTGAGTGGCCCAAATGGCCAGTTCGGCTGATTGAAATAAAACATTCATTTAATATGGCAACAATGTAAATTTTATGAGTAAGCTGTCAAGTGGCACGTTTATCTGCTTGCCTCAAATGCATTTGCATTGGCAACGAAACATCAACGCATTCTAGCGAAAGCAGGCCAATAACAATAACAGCCCATATTCGTGAAGAGTACGCAACGATTCGTTATTGCGCTGCAATAGCCCGTTGGCGCGACTTGCACGCATTCTACATATTTCTCATGCCATGCCACATGCACCTATTAGTACCTTGCCGACTTAGACAATAGCTGCGTGGACGTAAATTATTTTAGTTGACCCACAAAACTGGGAATGTTTCATATAGTGCTTGTGATAAGGCATTTAGGAAAGTTTGAAGACTCACTTAAAATAAATGATTGTTTGCTTAGAAAAAGAAACTTCTTATTTTTAAATTAAGAACTCTAACCTATTGTAATTAGCTTCAGTTCAAATATTTATCAACTTGTATTGCAATTTAAAGCCAATAAAAAAGGGGCGGATCATGAAGAGTATTAATTGTTTAAAAAGAGACTTGGTCGCTAATTAAAGACATGTACAGGCATGTTAAATTAGTTATGTACTTTAAATTTCCGTACATGTTATCACAAGTAAATAACAACCGCCCAATGAATACGACAAACATGATGATCAATCAGCCAGTACAGAAAAGTTGAACATACTTCTGTGAATTATTTAAATTTTAAACAGAGATGTTGTTGGGATATAGAAAGCGTTCGTCTGGCCAACTTATTAGCTCCACAAACATTAAAGTCGCACTTACACATCAAATTACCTGTTGTCCCAAATAAATATAGCAACAGAACGCGTCCATAAATAAAGCCAAATGAATACAACAAGCGATGATCTATCAATTTTCGAGCATTTCCAGGAAACGCTGCTTTTGGGCCAAAGTTGGCGATTATTTGCGCATGAATTTCGCTACAACGTACATGCCTGCCGTTGACGTTTGGTGACACTTTGGATTTGTTTAAAACAACAAACACACACACACACACACATGCCCTCATACATATGTATGTACATGTACGCACAGCGTCTGAGTCGTAGCATAAACAAATGGCATCATCAGTGCTCGACAACGTGCCACAAATGCGTGGCGTTGAGTGCCGTGCCACGTCGCATCGCGTCGCGTCGGTCTAGACACTTTTGACACAAATGCGAGGCCTAAGAAAGTGTCGCGCTGTCTGCCATTTAATAAAAAAGTATAAAAAAAAAATGAAAAAGAAGAAGAGAAATAATAACGAAATGAAAGCAATTGCTAAGCTGCGTAGATTTCCGCGTCTCGTGCCTGCCACAAACAACCTCCGCTGCTGGCAACAGTGAGGTGCGTGTTGTCATTGTCTGTTGTTGTGGTACGTCCGTCTGTCCGTCCATCCGTCCGTACATTCGTCCACCTACAGTTAGAGCAGCACCTGCCCGCCGCTCTGTCTAGCTGAGCGCTGTCTAAGCGTTTTGTCGTCTGCACACTTGAGACAGCCATGAGCACATATTGAGACAGGTGGTGACAACAGTGGCGTTTATTGTTGTTGTTGTTGTTGTCGCTGCTGCTGCTACTGCTGCTGCTACTGCTGTTGTTGTTGTTGTTGTTGCTGTTGTTTGTCTTGCTGCAGACGCACTAAATCAATTAGAATGTACGCCATCATCGTCATCAGCATGTCACAACATGCGTTAGTTCGCCACCTAAAGGTCTGCTCCACTTTTGCCGCCCAACGGCCCCAACCCATTAACAATGAAGGCACTTGTTGCCAGCGCTGCGCCTGCGCCTTAAAACCAACAACAATAACAACGACGACGACAACACATTAGCTTGGCATTTGGCAACTGCATTTATAAATTCCAGCGGACAAAACAATCACACACACATGCGGGTACACAGATACTACTTGTACATACATTTACAGTCAATGCACCCCAATCGAAAGTTTGTGGAGAGGTTCGTTGAACTCGACGGGGAGCTTTTGAAATGCAATGCGACGGCAACGGCAACGGCAACGGCATCGGCATCGGCAACCAACACCTCTGTCAAAAACGACGTGGTCGGCGAAAAAGCCGGCCAAGAGGAAAGGTGCGATAAAGATGCGGACAGACAGAGGCATAGGGCAAAAGAAACCCATTAACGTAAAGCTGCATTAACAGCTAAATAAAAACACCAACACTGTGTCCAAGTCCGCAGTCGAAAAGCATCAAATTTCGCTGCAGACAATGACGGCATGACACTGCGGAATGGCGCTGACCCTCTCCCCTCCGCCATGGCCCTCTTTCCCACACTTAAGCCAAGACACAAACCTGCCGCAGGGCGCAAGGGCGTGGGCAGAGCAGTGTTGCCAAGTCTTGAGTGGCGAAAAAAGCTAAATGAACCAAGCCAGAAAAGGTTGAATAAAAAACGATCTGGATTTGTTATGCATTTATATATTTATCCATTTAATCGTTCTATGTATGTTGTTTTTTGAATGCAGCATTCGGGTTATGTTTTAAATCGTCAAATGGTTAATGTGTATATTGATCAACGGGTCTAAAAAAAACAGTTGGAAATTTAAAAGTGTACTACATTTTTACGAAGATTTCTTACGAGCAGCATTTTTGTTGAAAATACGGTCTCATCACAGTCGTTAATTGGGCTTTGTATCTTCCAAGCTAAATCCAGAGATTAATTGAAGAATGGTCTGGACCAGCTGGTCCGTATCCAAGTTCCCATCAAGCTCATTGCATAGTTTCTCAAGTCCCACAATTCCCTGGATACAAGCATTGCGCTTAGACTCCATATCAATAATCTCCTCACGTATGGACTGTGTCGCCATCTCTAGCTCTTTAACTTCTTGAACCAAAGATGCCGTTAGTGAGTCCGGATACTGATCCACTTCGGCCCTATCCAAAATAACGGTATCAGCTTTCATCTCCACTTCTAGCTCTTCAACTGCTTGTACCAAAGTTGCATTTGGTGAGTCCAGAATCTGATCCATTTCGTCAGTAACCGTACTAGCATCAGTTTCGATCTCCACCTCTAGCTCTTCAACTTCTTGAACCAAAGTTGCATTTGGTGAGTCCGGATTCTGACCCACTTCGTCATTATCCGACCCAGCATCAGCTTCGATCTCCACCTCTAGCTTTTGAACTTCTTGAACCAAAGTTGCATTTGGTGAGTCCGGATTCTGATCCACTTCGTCCGTATCGAAAATAATGGTACCAGCACCAGCTTCGATCTTGAAAGTGCTCTCCTTTGATGCCATCTTTTGTTATACAAAGAACAAGATTTCTATTGCTATAAATTAGATTTATTATGATTTATTTTTCAGTGCCTACTGGAATAGTTTTACAAACTTTTGCTCCTATTTTTTGCCTGACAGTCCGCGCCGTAAACTCTGTTTTTCATTTTTTCGTAAGTTTGCATTTACTCAGGGAGCTTTCATTCAAGATGATGTAGATTAAAAGTTTTTCTTACAATAATTATTATAGTTATTGTCAGAACACAGACCATTGCAAAATTAAAGAGGCATGGGAGATAAACTAATTTAAGTGATAACCGAAATGGCAATAAAATACTATTTTTTTTATTTCCACTTCTCTTCCAACATATTTATTTCAAATATAATAATAAAAACGTGTATGTAGAACTAGAGCTTGTTTCAATTTTTGTATTCCGTTTTCAAATCAATATTATATCATAAGTATATATAAAATGGCCGAAAATTATACTGGCAGCAATTATTCAAACCACATTCAATTGTATAATTATTCCCCCAAACCGGTTTACGAACAACTCCAGAACTGGTGGGAAAAAGGGCAACGCCGTGACGAAAGCAAAAACCGGCAAAGGGAATTCCAAATCGAACGATTAAGACACGTTTTTATTTTATGTGCCTTTTGTTGTTGTTCTTGTTGTTGTGCACTTACTTTACTCGGTCGCTCTACGCTGTGTACTTTTTATTTGTAATTTGCAGGGTTTCATTTGAATTTTGCTGTTTGTTATTCTTATTATTAACATTGCAGCGTCGTTGTCGTGCACTTCATTTCAACTTTTATCTCTCAATGTACAAACATACACACACACACACACACGAGTATGTACATACACATATGTATGTATGTGTGTATGTGCGGCCTACCTTTTGTGCATGTAAATATTTCAATTATTTGTCAAATCGACACAATACGCCATTTATGGCTGTTGCCGTAGTTATCGTTGTTGTTGTGGTCTGACAAATTATCATTTGCAATTGTTTGGCTACAAGTGTGAGCCACAATAACAATTATAATAGCAACAACAACAACAACAGAAATCGCGATGCGCTGACAACTTTCGAGTTTATTTCATATTTGTTTATCTTCTCAATATGTGTGGTGCGTTCGCGCTTTTAAACTAATTTTAGTTGGCACATCTGCTTGTTTTTTAGCATTTTTTGATTTGCTGGAAATATGGAGCGGAAGTCTTTTCGTCAGCCCGCTGTCGATCTTAGCCTCGAGCGTTCTAAATACTACATTAAACAAATATTTATCAGAGTAGTATGTGATGCATTAAAAACATATGTATGTATGCTTGTATGTTGGGCCCCCCGCAAGCAGGGAGAAATATTTTTTGGGTGGTCCAATGATAGCAGAAGGAAAGATTGCGATGATGTCAAATTCTTCGCAAACCATTGAATTATAGAGCTACATATGTATGAATAGTGTTGTTTTCCTTTGAATAAGAGTGCGCTAAAGTGCTGTTAAGCAGCGCATATATTTTGTAAATTAAACAACACTACTAGGCTGCGAAACGACGCCTTGTTGTAAGAGGAAGTAAAACTTTAAAGAAAATGATTATAGTTTACAAAAACCTTTTTCTTAATACCGCAGTTTCAGTTTCATTTAACAAAATAGTTTCTACAGTTCAATTACTGCACGACAAGTGTTGAGCATTGTCGCAAAGTGCTTTTTAGCTGTCAAAAAAGATGCGCAGGGTTGCTTTGCTTTGCTAACCATAGTAGGCTCCTGAAAACAGTATATAAGGCCTTCCAATTCTAGGAAATATTTTATTTCGTTTGGTGCTGTCGTTCAAGCAGCATCGACTTCACAGTTTTGTTTTCTTATTTAATTTTAATTTCCTTTTTAAAGGCGTACGAATTATTTCCTTTTATTTATTTTCTGAAAAATATTTTTTTTATTTTATTTTGTACAATAAATGTATTTTGCAGTTTACTAATTTTTTATTTCGTTGGACTCTAATATTGTGGTGCACTCCGTTTCTATAACGCTTTTAAAGCCGTAGCTCTTAAACAGTTTTCATTTTCCATTAAATGCTATTTTTACTTTTTTTAAATAAAATTTTATTTGCATATTTTCGTTGGATTTTTTCTCCAATAAATCTATGCAAAACTGGTCAACAGTTTTTACACATAGGAAATTTTTTACATATTCCATTATCGAACCTTTTTGTTGATGTTGTTGGATGATAATTCCGCAAAAAAATGTAAGAACAATCAACCTACAATGAGCTTTTATTTTTAAAAACCAGTTTAGTAAATTTTATTCTATTTTAAATAAAAATAAATATTAATAGCTTCTCAGCTTTGAAGCATTATCTCATCTCTAGATAAATGCTGCGTTAATAATTTGGTTACAATCAAAATAATTAAGCAATTTAATAAACTATGTTTTAGTTGAAATGACACCATAAAGAGGTGGTGTTTTTGCCACGATATGGAGTGAGGTTCATGGGGATATGCCGATTAGTACCGCAAGGGAATTGTCATTGTTTCTAAAACAAAACGAAAAATATTCACAGTATTGATAAGAATACGCAGAACTTAACCCAAAACCCCCCAAAGCGACCTCTGAAAATCAAAGAAACTGACCCATTTTACCCCTCAATTTAATAAACCTACAATAAAGCTAAGAAAATGACAACAACAAAAAATTGCGCCATAAATAAAATATAAAAAGGAAAATGGGTGATAACCTTGGCGGGGCGGCTGTCGCTTATCGCGCGACGTCGCATTCCAATTCCTGAACGAGAGTAGCAAACGACTAGCAATGGACCAAAAACGCAAAGGGCTGGTTGTGCGATGGAGGCAGCGGCTGTGGCGGCGCTCCTCCAGCACTGTTATTAACTTGAGGCACACAATTTGCCGCATTTCTTTGTTTTCTTTCAGATAACAAAACAAAAAAGGAGAGCATTAAAAACCAACTGCAAATTAAGAGACAAACAAATAAACTAACAAACAAACAAAGAAACGAAAGCAGCAGCAGCAGCAGCAGCAACAACAACAACAACTGCCTGTTGGTAAACAAAACTTTCGCTTCAAGTTACTAGCAACAAAGTTGCAGCAACAATGCTGATGATGCTAGCCATTCCAAATAAATACTAAGCACACTGCAAGTGACTTACAAAAACAAACAGTCACTCAGTTACAGAGAAACAACAAAAACTGCAATAGCAACAACAACAAGGAAGTACAAGAGCGGACACGAAGGCCGATAGCATGGTGCTGCGACTGAATGTTGCAGAGCAACAGAGCAGCAGCAGCAGCAACAACAATAGCGTTAGCAACATCAGCAAGAACAGCAACATTAACGGCAACAACAGCAACAACACGAGCAGTAACACAGGCAACGGCAACAGCAGCGGCAGCGGCAGCAATAGCAACAATGCAACCGGTAGGTGCTCCTCCTCCACCACATCGTCTACAACAAGCCTGAACAGCAACGCATCGCCCAGTGGCATTGTCATGCTGGTACCACAGGCACAGTCGCAGCAGCAACAACAACAGCAACAGCAGCCACTGGCGGCACCACCAGCAGCCGCACCACAATATGCAGCACCACAGCAACTCTCGCCCTCGGATGGCTCCAACTCCTCGCTGCCAGCATCGCCACCGCTGCTGCAGCAAACCGCCACACCGCCGCAGGGCGCACAGATTGTGCCACCGGTATGTGCGCTTCACAATCCGCATCAGCAATTGGCCTTAATGGCGGCCATGCAGCATCAGCACCATCACCTGTTGCCGCCACCGCATTCTGCGGGCCAGCACGTGCCACCGCATGCCTTGCATCATGCCCCACCATCGGCACCACCACCGCATGAGAACGGACATGCACACATCGGTGGTGGCGGCGGTGGCGGCATATCGCCTAGCAGCGGATCTTCCTCAGCCAGCAGTGTTAGCAGCATTTCGAGCGGCAGCGGTGGTGCCTCGAATGGTGGTGCCAGCAATGGCACTAACGGTATTGGACCGCCAGTAACCGCCACACTGCCACCCGGACCACTCTACATTCAATACCCGAACGAGTTCTATCCGCCGGAATATTACATTGCGCCGCATCCCCACGAGGGCATCTGTCCGCAACACCCGCACCATCACCCGCACGCGCACCACCACCAGCCCATGTGCGCCATGTCTCCGGAATATGGTGAGTGAATCGACCAGCTGTTGCTAATTACTTGCAGTGCCCCTAATCCGTTCAAAGCGCCCGACTACAGTCTCCGGCGGCATTAAGTAGCGCCATTCGTCACAACTTTGTTAAGCCTTTGGTCGCCGCAATAGTCCCGCATTTATCCCACTATTCCCGACCCACCACTCCCCACCCCCCACACTGCAACACTCCCCCTTTTAAGTTGCTATCAGACGCCAACTGTCTGCGGTCTTAAGCCGTCAAAACTTGTCAGCATCCTAGCAGCTATCCCTTGTGTCCCGCCCCATAAACTGTTTGTGAAAAAAATTGCACATCCATTTGGCTATTAGACGAGGGTAGTTCTACAAATTAGCAAATAATTCTGAATCCATAATTATGAAAGAAATGTATTACTCTATAACGCTCCTCAATATAATTTTATAATGACAATTTTTTTTCAAGTTTATATAAAAACTATTTCAGAAAGGGGGAATAATTCTAGCAAAATTTATTAGCTTTTTAAACGAAACATTCTTTTACAAATTCTCTCAATAAAGTGGACCGTTGTTTGCTTACTTTTTCAATTCATCTAATAGCAGAATAATTTTCAGAATTTTATTTGGTCAAAACAGTTTACTGTTAAAGTAGCAGACTTTTCCCCAGAATCGAAACTAGCTGAGGTTTTCACATAAACAATTTAACAAATTCACTGAGCACGTGGGTTACTAAGCAAGCTACAAAATTAATAGTACACCTATGTATAAAGATTAGTACTTCCCACCATAGTCATTACTTTGAAACAGGTTCGGTCAGTTGCTGCTGTCCTCAGCGGTCGGAGCCGGCCACTCATTAAATAAAGTTTGAACGTGTTGTGTAGTACTATCTGGGCCAGGTCTGAGTGGTTCCCCACCCACGTCAGCTCTGTGCTAAGTCGACAAAATAAAGCAAACATGTCCCCAAATACGTCTTGGGCATGCAAATACGAGCTGGTGTATGTTTGTAGTGGGGTCTAAAGTATAGTAATTGGAATTGCCCAACGGTTCACGCTCAATGTTAACGCCAGTATGGCTAATTTGAAACATAGAGATGCTGACGAATATGGGCATTGGCACCACCTCGACAACAACAACAACAACACCATCAACAGCAACAGCAATGGACCTCAACAAACGCCCACACAATAGATTTATTTATTTTTGCACACGAGCGGTCACAGTTGGTCCGCGGTACAATTTGTAAAGGGTGTCCATAATAAATGGAAACTCTAGCAACTCAGTGGTTACTTTTGCTATCTACTGGGATAACTGTATTGGCCATGTCTTAGAAATTTGCGGGATTATCAAAACTACTGTTCATGCGGTCTCCAGAATTTGTAATTAATCAAGCAGAGCACGCTTTAATCCAAGCAGTGAAAAGCACTTGAGAAGGACAAACAGTTACTTTACGCCACTAGTTCCCTCCCGTTTTAGCTACTTGTGTTTGCCATAAGGCTGCATTTGCTGTGTTGCTTCAACAAACATCTGGGCTTTATTTAAAGCAAATTTCATAAATAAACACTTATTTAATGATCGCAAAAAATGTATGTTTGGCATTTCAATGAGACACCCATTATATTTGTTATCTAAATAAAATACTGGAGAATATACATACATATATTTGAGTATATGCCATCGCACTCATATTCCCATGCCCGTTCTCATTAGCATGGCTCTACCAACGCCCACATTAGCTGCCGTTGTTTTCGAATTCAGGTTCAAGCGAGACTTCAACTTAAGCCGAGCCCAAGCCACATCTTCTGCGGCCAGTCTGTCCGCCCGTACGCCCGCCCGTTCGACTATCCACAATGCAAACAAAAAATGTTATTTGCTGTTCTCGGCTGACAAATGGCCAATGCCGCCTCGGGGTGTCGGTTTTGGCCAAAAGTGTTGGCAAAAATAATTGAATTTGAGCAAGTTTTGCACAGCCCAGAAACCTCAATAGCCAACATTTTCAATTTATCAATGTCATTAACCTTAATTGTGGAAGCCCATTGGTATGCTGTCTGCCGAAACGTCGCGCCGGTGACTTGCAGCCCCAACTGACAAAGCAGATTAGCAGCGGCATCAGCATCACCATCAGCATCAGCACCAGAAGGCAGAAGCAGAAGCGATTGGGAAGCGAGCTGGAGGCGGCTTGTCGCCCCGGCTAGACAATGGACTCCATTGATAGAAACATTTCAAGCATTTGACTGCCACAACTCAGGCAAATATTGTTATGGAAATTTAATTCAATTTCAACTACAGCGGGAGCTTCAGCTACAACCGACAAGAAGTTTGACTCGCTGCCTGCTAATTGAATTTGCATGTGGCTCGACTTGCAGTCAAGTTGCCTCGGCCCCGACTCCCGCCCCCTGCAGAGTCTTGCAACTTGCCATGCAACCTGCCTAATAGTTTTGTGGCCCAAGCACTGACAACTTGCCACATGTGTGCTTCGCTCATTGAAACAGGAGCATGCCCATATTTACAATTACAAGAAATAGTACGTTTATGCGCGCACGAAATCACGAAATCATTTCCTCTCTACGTTGACTACGATTCAAGTCTCGAATTCATGATTTACGGGAAGATATGCCAATAATTTAAAGACCTTTTCCTTCTGTCCAGACTGCAGAAAAGCATACTTGACATTTTTGGTTTCGAATTTGCGTGTAAACGTGTAAAAGTGCAAATGGTTTCTACTCCCGGCCCCAGTGCTCGCTCATTTGCCAAATGGCTCCCAACATCCCATTCCCAGCCTCAACCCCAGCCCAGCCCCAGCCCTGCGCACCTCTTCCCAGTCGGCCCTGATTGTAGTTAATCGAATAAACTTGCAAAGGAAATGGCTGTGAGAGAGTAGTGTGTGTGGCCGTCTCTAATGGAATTTACGCCATGGCCGAACCAGCGGGAGCTTCCATCTCGTATATTGATATGGATGCCTAGCACTACGCTACGAGTTATAATTATAAGAATGCTGAGCATGCTCTTCACGTCGTTCACGTCGTCCACGTCCACCACATACTCCCCATGCCTGGCCGTGCTGTGCAAAATGCTTAGCGAAATTGCCTTACATTTTAGTTACTTGTAGTGGTTGTTGCTGTTATTCTTATCGCCAGCCTCTACTCGTAATAGTAGTTGCTATTGTTGTTGGCGCCACTACAGCTAGTCTAGATATGAAGCCATTCCTATTTCGACTAACTGGCTGGCTGGCTGGCTTCATTTTCGCCTGCTGCCCAGCCCAGCCTCTGCAACGACGTCTTAATCAGCATAACTCTTAAGTTTTTATACGAGTACGCCCCACCAGCTGCCGAACTGTGGCTGGTGGAAAATTAAATATGAATATTAATTGCATATACTTGTAGAAGCTCAATAGCTCAGTTGTTATGCTTAAAGCAGGTGCAAACAATTGAATAGTATATATAAATAGTCAAATAAATTGTTCTTTTTTATGCATGCTATCGAAATATTGCTTCACTTTTGCGATCAATCAAAGCAGATATACCAGAGAGTTCTTGAATATCTTAATTTCCTATTTTTAATTCTGTAAACAAAACACTCCTAAAAGGTAGTTTGCTTCAGTTTTCGGATCAATCAAAGCAGATATACCAGATACTTCTTGAATATCTTAATTTCCTATTTTTAATTCTGTAAACAAAACACTCCTAATTGTGCTTCGAATGAGTATCTAAGCAATGCAGATTTCAACTAATTTTTAACAGCTTGTATGTGGAGCTTCAATATAATCTTAAAAGGTAGTTTGGGGTTTGTAGAGTACAACTCTAATGGAGATGTTTCATTTTAAATCAATTAGTCGTGAGAGAAATATCAATTAAAAGCCGTAGCTGCTGCTCTGACTAATGATTTCCCACCTTTTCTACGCACTTTCCATTTCTATTAGTGTTTGCCCCCGGGCTTTATGTTCCTCAGTGCTCTGACATGTTGACCTCATTCGGGCATTTTTTTTTCCCCCATCTAGCAGGCGGGCATCTGCCACAAATCTACCGCTTACCTTGCTGTTGTTGGCTCTGACTTATTATATACGAGCACACAGGCTGGCGCACTCAGCTGTTCACAGTTCACTGAACGCTAAAGTTCATGAACTGATTTTGCCAATAAGGAATATGTTATAAGTGTGCCATTAAGCTGAACGTACACAACACGAGGCATAAACAAGCCAAACCGTCCAATGTACGAGTACGCAACAAAGGCAGCCTGGCAGTCCGTTCAGCGAACCCAACGCAAGCACGGGGCATCCGCATCCGCACCGGCACCCTCACCCGCGCCCGCACCCTCACCCGCACTCTCACACTTGGAAGGGCCGAGCTGAGCAGCAATCTAAGCGTTACATCAACACTTGCCGGCAGTACATCAGACCAAGAGTCAATCAAAGTACACAAGCGAGCACACACAAGACCCCTCATTAGGGACGATTTATATCGAGCAAGTCGATGGCATAAACATTGCCGGCATAATCCCCAACGCCCAAGAAGTCGTTGCTGGCGACTGCTTTTAGATCTTACCCTGCTGGCTTGGCATAATTTTCGATATCGCACATCAATGTTAGCGTGTGTGTGTGTGTGTTGTTTTTTTTATCGTTCTTTCTGCTCTTTCATTAATCTCTTTGGTAATAATTTTTAATTAACTCATGGGCATCAAAGCAGCGATGGCTACGTTCATGATGACGTCGGCGCCTACACCCGCACACCTAATTTTTCTGACCTCCCCTCCCCCTCCTACACCACCACAGCATCAGCTTATTAGTCGTGTTATTAAGACTTATTACCCGGCTAAGGCCGATGCTGACGCTGAGACCTTCCAATTCCGTTCTCAGCTCAGTTCTTCGTTCGCTCTCTTTTTTCCTTCAGTTTTTGTAATTATTGCCGACTGCACTTTGACTTTTGGCCGTCGTGAACTTTTCTGTCATTTCTATTGAATGTTAAACAGATGCCAGTCAAAAGATTTTACGAGTAAGCGCATAAAATGTTCGGGCAGTCGTTTTTAATG